AGATCAGAGGAGTAAAAGAACTAGTATTCAATCAATTGAAGAAGAATATGGGCGAATTATATCAATCTCCATTTTGTTGCAGACAAAAGAAAAGGCAATCAAAGAGGGAAAGAAAATCATAATTGAACTACTTGCCGTGTTTGCACATGTTGGATGAGGTATGAAGAGTCACAAGTACTGGCATTAAAAATTATTACTTAAAATACAATAATCATAAGGATAAAAACCTTACCCTTTATGCGTCTTATTCTCTGTCATCATTCATCGAGTGAAAGGATATGTAAATTTGTGACTACCCCCAAATTCGAATTGTGTATAATATCATACATTAATATTGTTTACCATATATAGTCGAATCCACCATACTAAACATAACTTAACGAGAGTAATGTAAAATCAAACCCCAAACCGAGTAAACCATTTTGTTGCATTAAGGACTCTCGCTGTCATTTCTGATTAACATTCTAATGTAAGCCACAACTTATTTTAGTGTGCCTTTTGCTTCTCTTCCGGGGGAATTTGCTTGTACTGTGCAATTCTATGAGGAAGGGTATGGGCCTAATGATATGCCACGTAAGATTCCCATGTTTCAAAACCCCAACTATAAGCACACAAGAAAGAACAATGACAATGCATAGAAAAATGTATACAGAAAAAACAAAATAGGCCGTAATTGGTGAGGAAAAATGGCGAATCCAATACATTTAATCTAAAGTGGCCAGTTCAATGATTTCACAACAGCATGATTCTAATTTAAAAGAATCTGCAACTCTTCTGATGCAGGATAAGAACTAGTCCTTTGCTCACCTTAATTAGTTTAAGTAGATTCAGGCGTGCTATAGCATCTGGATGATCAAGTCTCGATATTAGCAATGGTTTCAAACCGTTAACTGCAAGTGGTGTTTAATCAAGATGATTTCCTGCATAAGAATAAGGAAAAACCAAAAAACAGAACATCAGTGAGTTCCTCAAACTGAAAAAACCCAGATGCGAAAAAACCCAGACACGAAACCAGATTCAAGACAAGATATAGAATATCAAGCAAAGAAATGGATTATCGGTACCTGGGATCAAAAATGGAAAATCAGTTGAAGCTTCGGATTATGGGTACTGAGATCGGAAACAGATCGAAGCTTTGGATTGTCGGTGGAATCTCCAGTCTGAGCCCTAGCTTACGGGAGTGAGATGGGAGAGAACTGAGAAAGAGATACAAGGCAGAAAATGCATTTTCCGTGCTTTCTAAATTTACCGTGTTTTTGGCTTCAAAATTTCCAAAACATGGCTTTGAATGTTTTGTGTTTTCAGTGTATTTTTTTTTCATTTTCAAAAACGTGTTTTCGAAAATAGAAAAGAGAACGCGTTTTCACTGTTTTGAAAAATCGAAAACAGAAAACGACTTGAAAACGGTAAGGAGAACAGGCCCTAATTTATTAAGTTGGTTGAATCTTACAGATTGCCTCAAAAATATGAGCAGCTCAAATAAATGAGACTTACGAACCACCTCAAAAAAATTCGTGTGAGCCGAAATAAGTGAAGACTTAAAGATTGCCTCTGAAATATCACACTATAATTTATCGAAATTTCTTCAGCATTTTCTCTATAATATGGACAAAGCCAACCTCAAATAAAATATAATATCTTTGCAGCACATATACAAAATAATTTGGATCCATTTGCCCTCTAAATAAAGTAAAATGGTGATCAAGTTGAATTTGTTAGTGTAAAGCAAGTAACATGATGTCAATAATAAAATGATAATGTAGATAACGTGGCATGCGCACATGCAGTAGAGAAAATGGTGTTACGATATACTAGTAATGATATGCCATGTATATTTTGCAGCAATAATATAATCCATATACTAGCAATAATAATGTAATGATACTAAAATGCAGTATCACAATAGTCATCCAAGCCCAAATATGATTATTCATATAATACATGGACTTTTGGATAGAGGCGAGACTCTAAATATAAACAACGGTGATAAGCTAATGCTAAGGCATCTTCTTCGCTTGAGGACAAGGCTCTGAATGATTGCAACTTCGAGAAAAAATGTGGAAGCAAAGGCGAGGTTCTTGCTTGATGACTGTTCGTTAAAATTATGTATCGCAAGTGTACAGGTCGTGTTTAAATAGTAAAGTGAACTATAAGTCAGTATTGATGCCTTGAAAAATATTTACTTTTAATTATACTACTCTAGTTAATTTAATTCTAACAATAAAAGAAAAAAGACACGATATGAATTTAATATTTTGAAAATTAAAAAAGAAAAAAAATGAAATTCAATTCAATTCAATTCAAAACACATCACATTACAATGCCCCTTTTTAGCATGATAAAGTAAATGGGGTTTGATCCCTGGCATATGATTATCACCTAACTTATACTTGTTAATCAAAAACACTCTACACGAATATGATCACACGCATGGAATCAATACATTTTTAAATAATATCCTTCATCGGCTCGACCATCTCCAAACTTATCTCGCAATATGGTTAAATGAAAGATAAAAGAATGTAGGATTTATGGAAATTTATACACAACTCATAACCTAGTTCTACCAATTCAAAAGTCTCTTCATCAATAGAAAAATTGCACATCCAGATAACAATTTGTCATGATTATTGTGTTCTCAAGGTAACTCAAGATATTACAATGGATAAACACTTTTTTCAAAATAAATAAATTAGGTACAAATAGTGTATTTGATCATAGCTCATAAATCAACAACAATTGAAAATATCAGGCCATCCTAAACCAAGGTTATGTTAAATGTCAACACAAATCACCTCAAAATAAGCACGATTACTCCAAACATAAAATTACACATTATCCTACATGTGTAAAAGAACGATATAAAAGAGAATAAGGGTTTAACGAGACTTTGTCTCCCGATAAGCATTTTTTATAGTCTTTAGCTCGATTTTAAACATTTGAATCGTG